CATAGCTGCCTTCCAAGCAGTTGACCCGGGTTCRATTCCTGGCCAACGCAACACCTGMTTTTCTTCTTCTAGGTGCTGGAAGTTACGTTGGCCAGGGGTCTAGCACAGACCAGCTGCTGCTTTCCTTACAGTGAAAGAAGTGTTCGTAGGCACATACCTCTGCCCCAGTTCCTCCAGTACCCACCACAGGAGTCCTGCCCTGGCCCACTCCCACTTCCTTGCACACACAGCCTCTGCCATCTCCTCCACATTCCCCAGCCCAAGCCTCTCTGCCTGTTCCCAGGTTTGTTGGAGCACAAACACTCCAGACCCGCTGCTGGTTCCCACATGAACAAACCCACCCAGGGAGCTGCCAACAGCAGCTGACAGAGAGGATCCCACGGCTGTGCTGCGGGAAGGAGGTGAGGGCAGAGTCACCACGACCGGGGAGGCCTCGATGGCAACCATGGAGTCAGTGCAGCGGGCGACAGCAGGGCTCACTGCAGCTGCTGGCAAGAGGGGTAGGGCCAGAGGTGCCGCAGGGCCGGGGCGGGCAGGGTCTGAAGCAGGACATCTCTCTGGGCGGGACGCAGCGCTGAAACACAGAGCAGGGGAGGGAAAAGAGGGCCCAAGGTGGAGGACCACGGGGAATGCAGAGTGTGTGGGATGTGCCCCACACTAAATTGAGAGAGGAGCAGGAGCAATTCAGAAAGGGCAACACCGTGCCACAATTTGAGAAGCCACATGGATGAGAACAAATGGTTTGGGGAAGCCTGCAAGACTTGTCGCATCCCCCTTGCTCTTTCCATGCCACACAGGCCAGCTGAAGGCAGAGATGCCCCTTTGGCTTGAAGGAACCCTCCTCTTCCCACCAAAAGAACCCTGCTTCCTAGCTCCACATTACCATCACCRCCCACCCTTGAAAAGAGAAACACATAAGGGACCTACAAGATTTCAAGGGCTAAACTTAYCAGCCACCTATGAAAGTTGAGGGGCCAGCACGACAGCAATTCCACCTGTAGGAAGAGAGGGAGCAGRCGCAGGCTTACCRAGATGGCCGAGGAAAGTCAGGCAGAGAGAGGAGGATGGCCAAGCCTGGTTCAGCACACACKTTTATGCTGTGTCCCTGAGCCCTCAGGGACCCAAAGCATTCCTTGCTCGTGAAGCACCTGGGAGCTGCTGCTACTGGCGCAGTTTTCACTGGTGATTTGGCCCTTGCCTCTCYAAGCTCAAGTGTGGTGCTCCCACTGCATCCAAGTTGACACTGGAATGCCTAAGCTGTGTCACAGCCACAGCAGACAGCAGAAGRGCCTAGAATCAAAGAAGAGAGAGGCAATTGTTGTTCACACTGTATTTGCCATTAGTATCTTGCATTTCTAACAGGATCYCCATGAAGCAAATACATCAGTTAGGGAGTAGGAGAGTAGATGCCACAACAAAAATAAATTCTAGAGAAGACTGCTTTTCCCATGGAAAGAAACTGCTTTTTAATTTTAAGAATAATTTGACTAACAGTTCAATTTCTGATGTGGACTGSGTGGTTAAAAAGCATTAAAGAATCCTACTTACCCCATGTAAAGTGAGTTATTGCAGAAAGAGGACAAACCAGCCTGGCTACAGGGAAGCAAAACCAGSCTCTGGCAATACCCGCTTCCTGCTGTACCCGAGGAGCTTGAGAACAAACGCCAGGCACTGAAAATGAAACAACGGCTACGTGAAACGGATTTTAACATGTGTGTGAATAAAACAAGAGCAGGTGCAAATGGAGAAAAGGCCAGGCCAAGCCTGTGAGGAGAACACGGTGTGAGGAAGGACCGTGACATGAGGAGACACCATTTTGTGAGGAGGCACCACTGTGTGAAGAAGGGCCACGGCGCCATGAGGCACCAGAGGGTGAGGAGGGAGCGCGGAGCGGGGCAGGCCCTGGCCCGGAGTCTCTCCCAGTCCCAACCAGCAGGGGCAGCGGGGCCGTCCTGAGCCCATGGCCGCTGGATCGCGCGGGGAGCTAATGGCTCCCCCAGCAGCTGCTCCAACGGCTCAACCAACGGCTCAACCAACGGCTGCCCCAGCAGCTGCTCCAACGGCTGCTCCAACAGCTCCACTAACGGCTGCTCCAGCGGCTCCACTAACGGCTCCCTCAGCAGCCGCTCCAGCGGCTCCACTAAYGGCTCCCTTGAGGCGYGACGCCCCCTCACGGCYGCTGATGGCGGCGAGGAAGGCGYCCCACAGCGCCCTGTCCCGCTCGGCCCCTTTCTGTGCCCAAAACACCGGCGGCAGAGGGGGGAGTTTCACCCCACGCCCTACGAACACTGATATTTTTCCTTAAACTAGGTACAACAGCTGAAACACAAGGCTAAACAGGACTCAAGGAATGTTTGAGGATCGCCCAATCCCTGTCCCTCGCACCGACAGGTGGATAGACACAACGTCAAGTGCTTCTGCCGGTGCTGATTTGGAAAACTACTTACAAATACACTTTAAGACACACACRGTTGCCTTTTCTCCCTCTTTTATTGGTTCCATGCATAAATGAAGCGTACAGAGTCGTTGTGTTGCCTGTGTGGAAGCAGCGTGTAGGAGCGCTGGGCAGTAAATCCATGGCTAGAAGGTGCCTTGCAGCAGCTCCATCCTTCATCGGGAAGAGAGAGCAGAGCTAGGTAGCTGCTCTGTTGCCTGAAAAAGAGAATAGAAAACAGCCTTGAAAAATAATTAGACATCCAGGTTTTTGACCCCACTAGGAGTGGGATGCTCACTCGGGTAAAGGTGGCGGCTTCCCCTCGCAGCCGAGTCCGGCCCAAGGCAGTTGTGTGCACCAAACAGGGCCACAAGTGCCCGGTGTCGTGCACGGGGCAGCTACAAGGTCTGGAGCCTCCCGTTTTGTGTCACAAGGTCTCGGCTGTGGCCCCTTCGTGCTGCTAAAACCTGCTAGGTCAAGTCGGAAGAGGCAGCAACCACAATGCTGCAGCTGAAGTCCCCCAGGAAATAAAAAAAMCAGGGTTTAAAACCAAGTTCACCTGACTTAGTAACCGTCTCAGAGACCACTGCCTGGCACGAGGTGTTTGGCTTACTCGCTGTGCACCGCGGCTGCACAATTTTTCACAAAAGTTGCGACTGCAAGAGGTCATCTCAGAACTGCCTGCACCAAAAAGCTGCTTAACACTCAACAGGGGGAAATTCTCAGCACTTACAGGAAGCTCATAAATCTTTTCTTCCCTTTGGAGGTAATGCAGCGTGCCCAGGAGCAGGGTTCACAAGCTACACATGCCCTCCGCAACCCTTTTGGGGTCCCCCATGGTGTGAGCAACGTGAGTGCAGCCCACCTCACTATTTTGCAGCTTGAAAGAACAATAATTATTCACTAAGCTTGTGCTCCTGGGAATTTACGCAACACTTGACCACACCAGAAGCTCAACACTGATGTGCTCTGCTGAAGATAGCAGGGAAAAGACAAAAAAATAAATCAGTAAGAAACTGCAACATCAAGAACACCAAGAAATTGTCTCTTCAGCAGATGACAACATTTTGCATTGCCTGCCCTTTCTTCAACCCCCTAAACAGCAAGAACAGCATTAAGAAATGAAACTTGCAAAAACTTCATTTATGTATCTCTCAAAGATTAGAATTGCTTCCAAAGATAGATTATTTTGAAATTGTAGGTGGTATTAGTGACCTTGGTACAGCTCAAGAAGCCTCAACACACTTSCGTCAACTAATCTGGAAAAGGAAAGGAATTTAGAAAAAGGCAGTTTGCCAGGCTGCAAAAAGTAGACAGGTTCTGTAATTTCTTGTCTACAAATGTGCTAGCACTATTTTTATGACAATACCTTGTCTGTGCCCAAAACATTGATCAAGGAACTTTAATAAATCATCATTTTTAGCACTATAATTATTCTGTTTGATACATGAGGAATATAAATGCAGCTAAGACATTTTTAGTGCAGATGCATGACACTAGCTTCTCTGAAAACTGAGTGTAAGGACTCAGATTTTAGGACATTGCTGAACAATGATCTGCAGGTTAATAGATCTAAAGCAGCAACCTGGAAAAACTACATGCACAAACACAYAGATAGTAGAACACAAGAACGTAGCTCCAGCTTGCTCTTAATTAAGATATAGAGACTACATATCCATTTGGGTCTTGCAACCATTCAGCAGCTTTTGCCTCGAGTAGACCAAACCTTTCCTTAGTTCCTATCTTGTTTTTACACCAGTCATCTCAGTTAAAGTCATCTGCCAAACCTCACTACTCATTAGTTGGGAAGTCAACAGCTTCCCTAACACCTTACCCACCCGTTTKCTTTTTCTACAGCAAGGCTAACAACCTAAGTGACTTGCTAATTCGCAGACAAACCCGAGATTGTGTCTCACTATCTTTACAAAGCCTAAGCTCACCTGAATAACATCGTYAGATCTCACCCGCAGGCTAAGTAATCACTACAGGAGTACAGAACATTTCAGGAAGGCTCTGAAAAACAGTCACATTTGCGAATAAGCAAAACCCTTTAAAAACACTTCTGCAACCGGCCACTGAAGTTAAGCCAAGCTTTATGAATGCAATTCGCCTGGACGTCTTTCCACAATGGAGGTGCTAGACATGTTAGCTCTATAAAAATACATGGAAGCTTTCATACAAATACTCCAAATACTTTTCATTATGTAACTTTTATTTGAGACACATTGTTGTAAAAAAAGTTTGCATGGAATAATAAAACCACTGAGTTTGTTGTTTTAGGGGAGTTTGGATATTTTTGTCTATACATATTATCAATACACAATTAATGATTAAGTTTACAAGTTAACGACATAACCAGTTCACTCTACCTGCAGGAGCTTTTCATATTACACCTTTAGAGCAGAGCTAAAATGTGCTTAAACACACATGGTAAAACCATCCTATTTCAAAATTAAGTATTTTTTTCCAAGGGCTATACTTTTTTAGTCTGAATTTAGTAACTATATAACATTAAAATAATCGTAATTGAAGTTTTATTTGAAAAAAAAATGTTCGTAAGGCCATAGGAATACACTAAAATAGTTAAATTCACCGGAAAGAAAAATTAATGGAAATCCTGCTTTGGTGGCAGGGAGAAATACAAGTTTTATTTATAAGAACAAGAGTGGCACAAGCAGTTCAGTGAACGGAACGAGACTTATTGGCTACAAGCTAACCCTCAGGAAGGGTAACTTTGCAAAATTTCAGTTACATTTAAACAGATAACAGATGCATTTCCACAAATAACACATTTAGGCATTTTACATATTATTCACATAGCTTTCAAATCATTACCCATTCACAATTTTTAATGCAGTATGCGTACTTAAGACTCCTATTTTCAATTGCAAGAATGACTGACTTGATTCACTCGACTTTAGCAGACCAGGAGGGGAAATGTGCTTACGATGGGAAATACATTTGCCAAGAAAAACTCAGAAAAAAAAAATAAAATAAAATCCTGCAATTCTGAAAAACTAATCCATCATTCTTGAGAACAACCCTCTCCCACCMCCAATAATGAGCCGTGTCAGCTTCCATGAGTGGTTTAAGTTTTAACAATAATACAATACTTCAGGACAACTAGTAACTAAATTGAACACTCTAAATCTACTCAACAAAAACACTTGGTGCATTTTTGCTGAGCACAGACTAAAAGCTAAAGTTGAGAAGCCCCAAGACCATTTTTTTTCTTTTGTTTTTCTAAAACCATTTAGGAAAAAAGCTCGGTCAAGATACATTGCACAGACGTGGTGCCAAAGGTTCCATAAAGAATAAAAATCAACAGCATAAACAGCAGTTCTGTTTCATCAAAATCCACAAAAAAAAAGTCTGCCTTTCCTAAAAAGTTTATGACAATTTTTGTAGCGAGACAGAAATACATTTGTCGCTTTATGAGTAATAACTGCAATTACATTGRCTGCTTAATGAATAATAATTGCATGACTTTCATTCTAATGGACATTAGAACAGTTCACTGAGGTATAGTTCAGAGTCCTTCAAAGTTCAGCCTATATAGTATTGAGCAAAGGTGCAACAAAGACTGCACAAAACAACCATACTGGTATTAGAAAAGCCTGCAGTACCCAGTATCCGATGCCTAGGCTGAACATACCACTTATCATCTTCCACTTGCAGAAAGCAAAATAGCTAAAAAAAAAAAAAAAGAGTTCCCAGTAAAACATACAATTGCTTTGCACGCTAAGATACAGCACATTTTTCAATGCCTGACAATCCAGACTGTACACAGGAAGAGGTCTATACTGACCAAAAAYGAGCACACTGGTAAAGTGCAGCCACTCAGCCATTTAATACTGCGGAGGACGTGGGTGGGAGCAAGAGAAGACAAAACAAGAGGGAGAAATCTGCCTTTTACCTTATCCGTAAGAAATGAAATTAGATTTCTTCAGTTGCAGCAGGGGACAACAAAATTGCACTAAGTTCTTCTACAACAGAAAAAGATTAACTTTACATGAACATTAAGCAAAGGGAAATACTGACTGCATTAGTTTATCATGCATAAAGTGAATTTCCTATGGTCTTACCTCACATTTATGTACAGTTTCGCATAGCTAAATGTAAGAAAATAGCAAGGTTTTTGTTTGTTTGTTTTAAATACAGAGCAGATACCTCCGTTCGCTGCTGCTTCAAGAAGCACTTCATAGACGCTACTACTTTACAGGCTCTTTCAAAGGGAAGTTCATGGAGACTAATATTGGATGTACATTTTAACTACACAGATAGGGCAGGAAAAACAATACAAAGCACTCTGTAAACGTTGCCAAACGCAGAACATGTCAGTTTTGGTTTGCAAACAGCCCCTGAGATAAAAAAATCAAAGTATTACGACACCAAATAAGTCAGAGGTAAACTACTGAAAATGAACAACATTCGTAATTGGTGTCACAACACTTTCTGTATAGAAAGCACTTTTTTTTTTTTTAACCATACAGAAAACCCAACTGCTTTAGCCTGTCCAAAAAAACATCAAGGACAGACAACAGAGCAGTTAGTGTTGCTTTGTTTTTCCACTGAACCTTGTTGCCATGAAGATTTTTCTATTTTAGTGCAGCAACAGCAAGTTGTCAGATTCACAATCTAGTTACAACAGCTCTATGTGGGGCCAGGTTGATAGAAAGCCACTTAAAACGCTGTAACTTCGCTGAACCTGTTTCTAACAAAGCTTTGAATAGCAAAAATCGTTGAATTTACTGCTAGTGGCCTGTTCTCCTTCAGCATATTTACAGCAGACCCAGAGATGACAAATTCAGCCCCCCACGCCACTGCCCTGTGGCGACAAGCCACTCTAGACAACGTAGTGGAGCCAAAACAAGCGCGTCAGAGACCTGATGTTGACAGTGACAGAATCCACCTACTCCCGACGAACAAACAAGTGGGACACAAACCTGTGGGTAGAGCTTACAATGGTCCAAGTTTGGCACATCAACAGAAACTAAAGCACCTGCTTCAATCCCTCTGGACATTTTTCAGAACGCATTAAAAAGCGGTAAAACGAAGAAGAGGTTAAACAATGCCCCACTGAGTGAGAAGGCAACTAAGTTTTAACTCTGCTTCTGAACGCTAGGTCACTGTACCAGTTTTTGATGATAAAATAATTTAACAGCGTGAGCAGACCAAAGAGGACTTCACACATTCAACACGAGCTGCAGAACAAATACTACATTATAACCCTTGCGTGACCCTTTCCTTGGTGGCAGGACTTGATAAACTTGAGCAACTGCACACGAAGCTAGCTTTTTTACGCCTCTGTTGTCAAGGGTTGATGCTTATAGACATGAATGGACTGTCCTTAGCATGACAGTAGACATGGAAGTCACCTTTAGAAGCAGTCGTTTCTGAACATATGAATCCACAATGAGGTTACTCAACACTCATGCATTCAATTTCCACAAGCCACTTAAGTGATAGAGATGAGGCCAATTTGTGCTGATGATTTCAACTCCAGAGGGTGCATCCTCATCAGAAACAAAAAATGGTGCAGGCAGCTTGCGCTACCAGAGGGAAGTTCAGTGAGGAAAGACACTGTTTATTCAAATAACTGAAAGGTGCATCTGTGAATCAGACAGTGACCGGCAATCCAGAAAATAACTTTGCTAAGCCTGGTAAAGAAAGAAAAGCCAAATACTACATTCAGAGCAGAAGCCACAGCTTCTTAATGAACAGATTTGTGCATCTAAGAAAAAAAGAAGTAGAAATTGTTAAATGCCAATTGTTATTATAACACTCTTGACTAGAGTGTCAGAATCCATACTGTGGTCATGGCCACCRGTGTACAGCAAAGAAACTAGTGGAAGTGAGACTTGATCTGTTCCCCGGCTCTTATGCTATAGTAATAAATTTGTTAAAAAAGGAAATATCTGCACAAATCTGTTAAGAATCTTTCTTACAAGTCAAACTGTGCAAATACAAATGTAAGATTGTGCTGTAACAGGCAACAGGAGGCTAATATGGATGTGCAAAGTTAAAAGAAACATAGCAGCTTTTGCAACAGGCAATAAAACAGAAAGTAAAAAAGGAAAACAAGTTAACTCTTGCATTTGTGTCTCCACTTCATAGCTTCCATATCTGAGAAAGAGGAGCCTGATAGGTCAATAGGCTTAGTGAGCAAAATCCACTTGGTATTTTGTGTATCGCAGTCTACGTTCAATGGAGCTCTCAGCAGCAGCTTGGTGGTATTATTTCTGAGGCTTTGTGACCCTGTGCTTTCAAAGAAGCAGAAAAGGTTCTAAGTGTGCTGCAGTCTATCATTAGAAGTTCATCAAAGTAGCGTGCATCGAAAGAAGCTGCTCTTCTTAGATCGATTTTCAGTTATTTTTACTGGCCCACCTGCCCCTGATGAACTGTTGTCATTCTGAAAAAGAAAAGAACATCAACATCACCATCACAGAATGCTGGAAATTGGCTGTTCTAATTTCCCTCGACATCCTCTCCCTTGCAAAGCAAKCACCAGAACTGTTTGCTCTAACTTGAGCTCCTCAGTTACCTGACTCTGTTAATCCCATGATAAAACTGCCTACTTTTAAAATAACTTAGCCAGGAATCCAAATGTGAAGAATTATATCAAGGAGTRACTGCACAATCTAAAGTCTAATCAAACAAGGATCACACAGCTAAGAAAAAAACGCACTGATTTCAGGTTGTTCTACATTGACTGTTCATAAAATGAAGAAAAATTGCATGCTAAAGKGTGTTTGTATTAAAGTACCTATTTAAATGGGCAACAGTTGTACACGGCTCTGCTTAATAGATGAATAAAAGCAGAGGTTCTAACATCTACCCAACYGAATGGCTCAACCACAAAATCTAGTGGGGTTTTTTTTGAAGGCCCTTTTAGTAGAAAGTTGCAAATCCATTTGCCTAACAAGATTTACCTCACTTAATTCTTGTTCATTAGTAAGAGCAACTTGCACGATTACGTCAGTCCATTAGTTGGCCAAATGCTTGCACAAGTGCTTAAGAAATTAATAATCACATTTGGCACCAGCTGAATTTTGCTGCTCCTTCAAACAAACAAACAAAAAAATTAAATGAAGGCAATCTCCAAACCTCATTTAGAGCCAACAAGCTCTAGCCAACAACTGTTAAGAGCAGCTATCCTTCCCATATAAGGAACCCTACATGCTTAAAAAGGGCTTCATTAAATCAAAGTTATATTTTACATATTTTATCTACAGGTTATATTATGAATTCAAGACAGCTAAAGCACATCAGAGTCACAGATATGTTCAAATCAAAGGAGAGCATCTAGTTCAACCCCTCCCTTGGGACTTAACTATCACTAACAGTAGATCAGGTCAGCTAGAGTTCTGTCTAGCTAGTTTTGGAAACTTCCAAGGACATGGATTCACATCCCTCTAGGCAATCTATTCCAGAGCTGCACTACCCTCATTACTGATTACTGCCTCCTGCCACCCATGCCCAGCCCAAACCTCCCAGGCAGCAATTTGTGGCTCAGTTCCAGCTCCTTGGCTTTAGGAACTTGCCCAGCCTGGGAATTCTCCTCGGGACTCTCTCCAGATCATCCCTAACCAACACCCTTCCTAGACTGAGATGCTCCAAACAGGATGTGGTAGCTCAGGAGCAACAAGCAGAGGGAGGCAACTATTCCCTTTGCTTGGGGAGTACAGGGTCTTTTTTAGCTAGGACTATTACTCGGCTAGTTCTTATACCGGATCATTTCATTTAATATAGACCATATGTCAATAGGAATACAAACCATTTTTCTGTTGAGCTTTGTCATTATGTCCCGTGCAAGTGTGAAGAATGCCTGGCAAGGGGGGAGAAGGACAGAGAGGGGAAAAAAAAAAAAAAAGATTAGTCATAAAATACACTAGAAAAGATAGATTTGGAGTAATGAGACACATGAATATTGCTGTGTTCTGTAGTTGCAGGGCACTGTGCACAACAGTCACCTACACTGCAATAAGCATTACCCTGTTTTAAGTCTCCTCTCCAAACTCTGCAGCAAGTGAACGGCCTTTGCCACTGCACAGCTCTTGAACAAAATAACCTGCTGAATGGAAGGCTGTTTACACAGCATTGTGATTCAAATATGCAGCATATATTCACTTTTTTATTTTTTTCCCTGCCAAACTATATATTGTGCATTGCAGCTAAAAACCTACRGAGAGCTTTGAGGCTGGCATGTCTGGGAATTCTCATCAACATCAGCAATTTCTTTCTTCCTTTGCACTTGGGCTCCCTACAGCTTGCCAATACTTCTAACAATCTTAAAATCACTTGGGCAAATCTCAATCTCCAACTTCACAGCACAAAGATGTAGAACAGTTTCTGTAGCAGGAAAACACTGCAATTCTCTAAAAGCAGGAAAAACACGATTTCAGGGATAAATCTGAAGATACCAATACTTAAAGGTCAGTTCCAAAATGGAAAAGAGTATAGGAAAGGGTAAGCATTTTCCCCCCCTCATTGCATTTTGAACATATCCAAAGCAAGGGGGAGAGAAGGGGTCATGATTGTATTACACACAAGTTAAACATTTGGTGGAAATAAGATTAAATCATTACTGGCAGAATACCTACACCAGCTGCATTCTTTCTGTATTTTCTTCCCAATTCATGTGACAATTTTTAAAACACATTCAGACAGCCAAATGGTTTGGATTAGGCACAAATTAATTTTGTGTATTTAATGACCTACAAGGGTTGTAATGAAAGTGCAGGGCATGTCATGAGGCAGCCAGTCAATCATCTATAGGAACTGAGATGGTATGCACTTTTTATTGGGAATTTATTGCTATCCACCATTGGTGTTAGTTGCTAATGTTCACATTTCCACTGCCTGCTCTCAGAATCACAGGGATATCGTGCAAAAGAGGTCAAACACTACTGCACAAGCAGCACAGTTAAAACTCACCCTAACTATGATTCCATCAGAACCTTCTTGCAATCAGATAAAAGGCTACGTCCTGTCTCAGTGGATACAGTTCCAGCCATGCCGTTTTACAGTAACAATTTCTCATTTCTAGTTAATGTATTAGCTGCACAATCTGCATACAGTATGCATCTGGAGGACTTCTGAAAGTATCCCAACAATATGCTTGGAAAAGCATTCAGATCATTAGCTTCAGGAACACTGCCTTATTTGAATAAACTAAACTGCATTTCTACATTACATAGCCCCAGCCTTTATACCATTAGGGCATACATTTCTAAAATTAACATCTCAGAATCACAGAATCATTAAGGTTGGAAGGGACCTCTAGGAATCGTCTAGTCTATGCCTAGACCCCTGCACACACAGGGTCACCTAGAGCACGTGGCACAGGCTGAATCCAAGTGGGTTTTAAAGATCTCCAGGGAAGGAGACTCCACAACCTCTCTGGGCAGCCTGTTCCAGRGCTCTGTCACCCTCACTGTCAAGAAATGTTTCCTTAAGTTCYTGTGGAACTTTCGGTGCTTCGGTTTGTGGCCGTTTCCTCTAGTTTTATCCGTGGTCACCACTGCAAAGAGGCCGCCCCCTCCTCCTCACTCCCCCTCCCTTGAGGTATYTATAGACACTGCTCAGGTCCCCCCTCAGCCTCCTCTTCTCCAGGCTGAACAGRCCCAGCTCTCTCAGCCTTTGCTCCTAGGGCAGATGTTCCAGGCCCCTGATCATCCTCGTAGCCCTGCGCTGGACTCTCTCCAGCAGCTCCACATCCCTCTTGTGCTGGAGAGCTCAGGACTGGACACAGTCTCCAGATGTGGCCTCACCAGGGCTGTGTAGAGGGGGACGATCCCCTCCCTTGACCTGCTGGAGACACTCTTCTTAATGCACCCCAGGATCCCGTTGGCCTTCTTGGCCATGGGGGCACTGCTGTCTCAAGGTCACCTTGTCGTCCAAGACGACYTGTCATCATCTGTAATTATTTAGTACATTCACAAGATTTTGAATGTACTAAAAAAAATATATCTTTGATCCTTTGAGGGCTTTTTAATCTAACTGCTTTTTGATATCATGTTTTACCATCCACCTTTTTCAAAGAATTAACATCTTCCCCCTCCTCTAAGACTACAATAGTGATTCATGGTAAGACAGACTCGAGCTGAGCCACTCTTCCTTCCGATTCCATTTCCTTATGCTCTTATAAATAGGGTCTGGCATTTTTTTTTGCACAAAGTTTATTTGCAGGAAAAAGGATCACAAGTCTACAGACAGTATTATAAGCTTTCTTCCTCCTCTGACATAGATTTATGACAGTCTGCACTGACGTTCCAGTTTAAAATGCAAATCTCATCTCCTCTGCAAAGGCGTATTTAGTAGTAACCTGAAGTCTCCTTGACGTTGTAACGTGCTATTCACAAAACAAAGAGTCTTGAATCCGGTTTCCTGCCCGACACACTGTTCTAACATTACACCTACTCCCTGTCCAAAACCACTTGTCATTTAAGCAGCAAGACAACAGCCTAAGGAAACTTTGCTACAGTAAGAACAAACCACTCTCACCACCTACCTAGAAAGCATGCCAGATATTACCAAAAAAGAAGCTGTCCTGCGTTTTTCAATAGCTATCTAAATAGAACTAGCTTGAAGTTGTCACTTCATGTTTTAGATCAGGTCAGGAAGCCCAGCAATTCCCAATCACATAACATGCCTCCACAGTAGTACTTCAAGAAACACAACCGACTGTAACATCTATCTCTTACCTCTTCCACATTTATGCTGGATTTTGCACTTGTCTCCAAAAATTTGATTCCATAATCAATTGCTAACTGTAAGAGAGGTTAAAATTTTCAGTGTATTTGAAAGTTCCAGTGCAAAAGGCAGGTTTACACAAGTTCATAACAGAATAGAGACTCTATAATGCTTAAGAAAAAAAGTTTCATTTGTCTGCTTTCTCTCACAAAAACATTGATGTTACCAACCACTTAAACTATTTCAACTAGGTAAATCCTCTTGTAAATTAAAAATTTGTTGTTAATAATAAAAATGGCTTGCAGAACGACTTATTTCAGGTCCAAAAGAACATAAATGTGGCATCTTCACTGATTTGTATTTGTTGACAGCACAACTACGGATAACCATCCCAAGAGCTGTGTTACTAGTGGCTATACTACTTYGCTGTGATATAGTGTGATTTTGCTTGTTAATATTTCAGAACATGCTATTTTATTTTTAACAACAATACTTCCAAGAAGTGTCAGTAATCACCATGGTAAATTGTATGCAATATGATCTAACTACATACAATGTTTTATATTAAGATTTATAACACTTCATGTTATAGGGAGGTTAAATATTCTTTACAGGATCTCTTCCTCAAAAAAACAATATTAAATTAGTCAAACTTGAATATGGTCATGTGCTATTACAAAAACCTGACATTTTATAACATATAAAAAGTTCTGAAACATGTTTGAGGCCCAGTATCTCTCAGATACCTACAACAAATAAAATATCAATAACCAGAATCCTGAGAAAAAAATTGTCTTCTAAGCAAGATAAGGCAAAATAAAAAAAGTTTACCTTCTCCCCTTTTTCTTTTGAAACTTGTCTTTTGTCATTCATATCGCATTTATTACCGAGGATCATTCTTTCTACATCCGAAGAGGCATGCTAAAAGGAAAAAGACAATCTCTCAGAAACAGATAATAGCACTATTTAGAAGAATTTTTCATATGCCAGACTCATCCACAAATGATTTTTTTTTTGAAGAGAGTTATCTAATGTGAGGACATTACTCAGAAAGGGCCTGTCTTTTGAAATAGACAATCCAATAACTAAATATTTAAATAGTTTGGGATAAAGATTCCCACATTTAGTTTGCCTGAATGTCACTGCAGACTGGCTACAGCAGCACTAGCTCTGTACCAGGTTGCACTTGGTACAAGCAACATGTACACAATATGTACAAGCAGTTGGCTATTTAGGATGTATTCGTGTACCAGTTTGTAGCAGAGTGAGTGAATACCATTATATCCACAGTATTTGGTTGAAGTATCAATATACAACACATCTGCATTTTTAAAAAARGCCTTAATAAAGGACTTAGTAAGAAACAATCAGTTGAGCATGACCACCTTTCTTGCCCAGTCACCACCACATTAAATTGATCACTAATATAGGAAATTTGCTTAGAGAGCCAGAAGAACAGTAATAAAGAAAACCTTGTGGATTTTGATTGAGAGAGAAGGAGAAATAAAATACTGTTAAGAGCGTTCCTAATTACAGTTTCATTAGATATTAATTTAGGGCTTGCCCTGCAACTTGACAGAAACCTCCCCAGTTGACAGTATGTCATGTTAAATAATTTACAAGAGATTAGCAGGTAGCTTACCAAAGATCAAATGAAAAGGACAAAAGCATCCAAAAGGACAAACACACAACCCAAAACAGTAACTGAAATCAGACAGGTGTGTCTTTACCCCACAGTCTTTCTCCTTCCTGTGCCTTAGACAATCCCAAAACCGAAAAAGATCAATGAAAATTATACAGAAAGATCAGTTTTGAAATACTTAGTTTACGCTTGCTACTTAAACCTCAGCTTCCCATTTTCTGTGTGATGATAAACAAGACATATCTCATGCAYAGATATTCTTCCCATTGGTGAGCACTGTTCCATTCACTGCAGTGTCTAAAGCGGTCATATATGTTGGCTGCCATATTGGAAGCAAATAATTACTTAATGATTACTTTTCCCAGGAAAATCGTAAGGTGCCAACAATATGAACTCCTTTCCAAAGTCTCCTGTTATAAAGCACCTACCTCTTCAATGTTTCTTATCCAGTTTTTAATGTTGTCAAAGGACTTTTCATTTGTGATATCATACACCAACATAATTCCCTAAATAAAATAAAGAAATTCTGGTTAGATAAGCAAGTATTGTTGTTCTACTTTTAGTGTGTGCTGTTGGTTTGATTACACTTGCAAGAAATTTAATATAGATAAGACTTACACCCCTACAATCAACAGTCCTTTCTCAAAGCATTATGCCTTTGCTGTGAGTTTGCACAAAATACCATTTATATCTCCTGACCAGGAAGAGTTTACAAATTCTACTACAGCAGAGACTASGACCTTATGTTAAAGTCAAGTTTAGAAGTGGCAGCTTCACACAGTCAAAGGATTACAGTCCCATAAGATCTGACCTGCTGGGGCCACCAGATATTTTCCATCAACGCTGGCACCCTCGCAGTGGCTTTCGCTTTGCATGCAGCTCTATATGTATGTGTGTGTGTGTGTGTGTGTGTATATATATATGTATATATTTTACACACACACGCACACACCTCCACAAGGACTCTCAAGAAACTACCCCTCAGCTACATGAAGTGCACTTTGCCAAGGTAAGAGCAAGTAAGGTCTCTGGCTGTGCGCTGTGAGGTCAGGAGAGGACCTTGTCACTGCCAAACCCTTAGTGCTTAATGCTCTGACACAGGACTGTGACCGTGACTATTTCTCCCATAAGGTTGGGGCTATTGGGATGTACAACTAGACTGAAAGAGCAGCTCATCTTCTGTCACTCGGTGTGAACAGTCATAGAATTGGCACAGGTCACAATCAGCAAATTGCAATTATCTGTATCCCAAATTAAAGTGCTGCAATCATGGCATTTAGGAACCACATGCCATCACATTTCTACTRAATGCAGATTTGGCATTCTTGATCAGCTGAAGGTAAGAAAGAGCGGCAGGAAAAGCAACTCAGGGAAATACATTCTTGATATTAAAATCATTCATTACCTATTTATCAGACACTTAAAATATATTCAAATGGTTGATTGCATTTTAAAAAGTTATCAAAATAAAGCTTAGCAATTTATCTTCTGCAGAGATTATTATCTATCTGCAGGGATTGCAGATACAGTAAAAAAGACAAATGGGCTTGAAGTTCCATTACAGCAGACAGGATTAAACATAGTACAAGCAAGTTAGAAAAAAAAAAAGAACAAAAAAAAAAAATCCTATCATTTTATTCCTCATCACAAGCCAAAATTCTCTAACCCACCAATCAGAAAGTCTTGCATGGTGTAACCATAAGAGTTAAACCAGTCACCAACAGTTGTAGATAGATTTTTGGAAAGAAAAGCACTCACCATGGCTCCTCTGTAGTAAGCTGTCGTAATTGTGCGGAATCTCTCCTGGCCTGCTGTATCCCTAAAATTCAGTGAAAACAAATACCCATTGGAGACCTCCTTTAAACTCTCCTGTACCAAACAGAGATCTTTTTAAATAGAAAAAGCACATTGATACTTATTAAGTAGAGAACCATTTAGAATCTAACTGCAAAAATTTCTTCAGCCCTCAATACCCTCTTCTCCCTCAGCTATCAAATCTACACCAGTGGGTGTTTACACTAGAAGCACCACAAATATTGTTTTAAAGCATTTGCATTTTCATGCAAACAATGAAAATGCAGCGCTACACAGCCTTCCCCAGCAGAACTAACAAAGGCCGCTCTGATGCCTCCAAATCCTGCAAGAGGGAAGAAATAGCCCATTCAGCAATAAAATATTTTGGGGATACTGTGTTTTCCTGTACAATTAGCTATTAAAATCAGCTGTTATAGCGTAATGTGCTGATATTTTATCCTGCATGACTTCAAAGTAATATCTGTGAGTGAACAGGAGGACCAACACGTTTGGATACTAGTTATACCTAGAGGAAGCTGAACTCCCCGAAAGTGGGAGGAAAAACAAAACAAACAAACAAAAGCCCTAACAGCTTTCTTTGATATTAGAGGAATAAAATTTGTACCAGTCACATCTAGAACTTGACTTCCTTTGTCACCAAGATTAATGAATGAATCCTGAAGTCACAATTTCTCTTTTAAGACTTGAGTTATCAGCAGTATCTCCACGTTCAGCAGTAGTATTTTAAGAGCTTGGCATATGCAATAAGGCTGTTCCACAACTGCTTGTCTGCTGCTACCAAGAGCTCAGTTTCTACTATGCACCATAGAAGCCGCATTATGGTCTGTCCATTTGTGACTATAACTGGGCATCCGAGAATTCAGATCGCATTTTTAAATGCATTGCATTTTTAAAAGCTATTAGGGCTTATATTTTAGTTGACTGCTACATAATTAATACTTCTGTTCCACATGGAATATCCAAAACCGCATTTAAGATGACAGCTTTCAATAAAATGGGAAATTGCTTTAACATTAGARTGGGAACAGGCTATTTCCTGCGCTACTCAAGAACGCAGCAGGGGGACTGTCAGAGAAAAGAGATGGGATTTCTAGCACATCCAGGCTCAAAGCTATGAGGTGCTCCCACTCAAAGAGCCATCTCACATGTGTTGAAAACTTACCATATTTGTAGCTTGATTTTCTTTCCATCTAGTTCTATTGTTCTGATCTTGAAGTCGATTCCTGCCAGAGAAAGAGAYACATAAGTTTTGCAACAAATGAAAAGGAAGTCTTCTGTTTCCTTTTGATKATTTGCTAAAAGTAGTATTAGGGAAAAGAATTATTCTGACCATGTCACTCCTTCCATAAATGAGGAAACGGGGAGGATGCACCAAGTTTTTCACCTTCATCAAAAAGATCAAGCTGAAATTACTCTGCTCTATGAAAATAGAACAAATTCAGACTCATTACTAGAATTAGTCAAGATTTTGAGAAGAACTAATTTCAGAACTCTTTCAGTTCATACCAGTAAAGCCACTACTTTAAATTGCCTTTTTTCCAATCTTATGACTAGCCCCTAAAATTCAGATCAGATCCCTAGGACCTCTACTGAATCAGCTCCTGCAGTGAAGTTACATCCTATGGCTGCTAAGTTGCTTTTCGGAACTAGCTCAAGAGCTAACAGTCTTGTCAGACATAGTAGTAAAGGGCAAAAGAACATAGGATATGAGACACACACAGCTGGTTGCTAAGGGTCACTGAAGATGACCATCCATAAGACTGTTCCAAGAACACCAGGTTAGGAGCAACTCTAATTTTCTGGAAAGCTCCAAAAGTTAGTGAGAAAATGCTTCTCTCCTTTCTTCCCCAGCTATTTCCTCAGTGCCTACTGTGACTGTTTCTAAAAATAGATTTTAAACTAGGGATTAAAAAAAAAAAGTTGAATAAATTCAGAAAAATCTAGTAAAATATGTTAAGCTTTAGAAGACTTGCATGGATCTATGAACCCGGGCCAAGACTTCCAAATAATCCAGCAGGCTGGATATTCAAAATTTTGCATCAGTCCATTTTAAGGCTGTTGCCCATTTTCCTTTGTCTGAATCTTAAAGCTTACTTGATATTTATTCACAGTTATATCATTGGCCCCCCACTTCCCTCTCCCAGTTGGGCTTTAAGGGACCATTACCAAAGGGTATCTTAACTGGGAAAATCTTGTCTCTAGCTCTGCTAGTTCATCCACAGCTTAAACAAGAATCACAAGAAAGAAGCTATGACTTTTTTTTTTTTTTTATAAACACCAAAACAGTATTTGAAAATGAAATATAGATATTCATTAACTACTTGACTTTCGYCCTTTTCACAGAAGGGCATAAAATTTTAATTGAATGAAAACACGAAGTTTCAGCCATTTAATATTGACGCAATAAGCAYGCATAGTGTAGCCCATTAATTAGAAAGAATACACACTATTAGCACAAACATCTCATCAGCACTTTTAACACTGTATGAAATTAGCTACATTATTTTCCATGCTAAGAGTATCACTACAGTCATAAACTCCTAAAATCCTCCAAGATTTAAAGGCAAAAAGATCCATTACTAACTTGATTTTCTCTAAAGTGACATAAGGATGACATTAATTACAATAAAAATGTTACATGTAGCAGAAGTTAAGAAGTGTTTCCATTCTACATTCGGTAGGACTTTACATCCACCTTGCTGTCAAGATTTTTCCAATAACTAGTTGTAACACTTGCTGAAATTGCACTTCACTGTATTCGTGCCTGAAAACAAACGACCTTGGCTCTCAACTTCTGTTAATCTCACAGATTCCAAAAGCACAAATACAGATTTTTCTGCAACGGCGGTTTTGCTACAGACTACAGCAAAATTAAATCAGTTTTAGAAGTTTCCTTATGTCTAAGCCTGAAATCTTAGGATTAAATATAACAACCCCACCAGGAAAAAAGGGTTCAGAGACTACTGTGGTTTCAAGGTAATTCTGCAGGTACCGCAAACTAAGGAAACGAAGACATCAGCACAAGGAGTGCGAGACTCCTCCTGGGATGGCTTCCCAAGACAGCAAGCTCTCGCTGCAGCTGGCTGTTAGGTGCACCAGCCCATGCCTTGCACAGACTGGTTTCTTGTGGTTAGTCATTTCCCTTACAGCACCCTAAACAGTTTCTACAACCCCTTGTTTGAGAACAACCGAAGCTCAGGATCCGCACACAGAAGAGCTTCTCCAAACGTCGGATTTCTAGCAGGGACTCCACCAAACATTTTTGTTGGATAAAGACGAAATTGAAAGTTAAAAAGAACAATCTGCAGAGGAAAAAACCTCTCTGTTACAATATAAAGAGGTTTAGCTACTGCAACTGCCACTTTTCAGAGGGTGAAACGAAGCCCAAGCTGATGCTTCTTTTGTTGTGCCGCTGCAGCAACAGGAAGCGGTGAGCGGCCCGCAGCGGCGAGCGCCTGGCGACACGGCCACCGCTTCCTGCTGCGAGGCGCGCACGGCGACGGCCGCGCGCCGCGGGGACGCGGTTCTGCTCAAACTGTGCCACGTAAACCCCTTGTGCCACTGCTCCACTTAGCCTGCACAGTGTCTATACTTAATAGCATATTTCAATATATACTTTTTAAGCAGCTGTAGTAAGAAACCAGGCAGTTAATGAAGTTCTTGCCAGATGCAAATCCTTGTGGGATGCAAACAAACTTCTCTCTCTGTTGGTGTACACTAGTCCACGCACCCTTCACAGTCCAGTACTTCTCTATTGCTAGCAATTCAAGATACACTTCACAAAAATAAACAAAATTATAACATGTATAGCACCCAATACAGTACCATTTTGAAGCTTTGTGGTTTTCTCCCCCCAAGCTATGAGAGGAAAAATCAGGTGACTCAACGCTAGCAATCTGAACAGAGGCGTAAAAAACTTAATGCCTGTGTTGCTTGCTAGAAGGAGTCAAAGAATATCAAAGACATTGCAGTATTAAATCTTATTTACCAAACTAAAAACTGAGAGATCTGTTTTGCATGACCTGAATACAATAAAACCCCACCCTTCTAAGCCAGTAATCTCCTTGCTTATCTAACCATTTTATTCTTTTTAACTAGGAGTGGAAGGAGTCAAAATTAAGGAGTAAAGTTTTTTCCAGTGACATTCTCTGATAAACAGAAATGCTGGTGTTTATTCCCACAGAGCATAGGAATTCATTACAAGTTTGGAAAAGGAGTCAAGATACAAAGTCTCCTTCCTCTTTGAAGCACTAGGCCATCAAAATGTCTGGAATTCACGTATCAACTTTTAAGCTGAGCTTGCTCCAACTTCACAGCTTTGGTCCTTCCTATCCCACTGTGTTCACGGTTTGGGTTTTTTTTTTTTTTTTTTTTTTTAATAACACATTTTAAATGGCCAGAGAAATTTGATACTTCTTTACTGCACGATGCAATGTTAGTGTTTTAGAGATATGCAAAAGCAAAAATAAATAAAATTTCCTGCAGTYGCTGTGCACTGTGAGTAAGGCTGACTTAAGAGCAACTTTAACTAAGCAAGCAAATTTGCAAACTACTTTAAGAAACAGGAAGTGAGACCAAGCACATGACTGCGAAGCAATGGGCTTCACCTTTGGTTTGGTGAGTTCTGGGAGGGAGTAATCTGCAAAAGATGTTGCACTGGAGGTTGTGCTTCCTGCTGGCAGCAAGAGCCTCGCCGCGTAGCGGAGCATCCGACCTGGCCAGCGGAGTCCGGCTGCAGCCTGCTCAGAACAGCAGGTACTGGCTGCAGGTCCCAAGGGCAGGTCTGGATTCTGCAGAGCTGTCACAGCCCCCAGTCTCCCGGACGCTGCAGTGTGTCACAACCAATGGCTTTAACATTGCTTTGAAAAGCTGCAAGCAGTTAGTACAAAACCCTCAGCCATGCTTATCTGCACACCCCTCACTACAGGATGACCGGCGATACCTGYGCTGACTTTTATTCCGTCTACACCACTCTTCTCTACAAAGACTGAAAAATGAAGCCTCAGAAACATGCCTATTTATTAGATCTTTCTTGAAATATATCAGTAAAATAAGAACATGTCCAAAAAGGAAACAAGATCAGAGCGTAAGAGGCAGGGTGGGGAACACTTGCAACATTCTAGTGTGTCATGCAGCGCCCAGCGCAAAAGAGCAAAGTCTAATCATTTTGAACTTGAGCATTTGGCTCGAGTTCTTACTAACATCTGTGAGGCATTTTCAGATGATCTCAGCAACATTTGTATCAGTATGTAAATTAAAGATGCAGTAGTCTTTATTGCAACCACTAAATAATATGACAGATTAACATTAAGCAACACACTGGGGTGAAGGTCAAAATTTTTTAAAAGTTGCAAGATTTTAGAGTATACCCAAGCACAACTAGATTTATTCATCCTTTTATGACTTAACAGGACAAAGCTGTATTCAATATGGACACGCCATAAGAATCTACGAAACATGACTTAAGTCATAATGGGCTGAATGGGCTTCTTGAGAGCAAGCTGGCTCTCCTTCTTCCCATTCTTCACTTGTACAAAGGCCCTAGTATTGGTTTCCTATGCGGCGATAACAGCAGCATCTTGCACCTTCAAGGCTATCAACACGGTCAGCTTCTTGAAGGAAAGTTACTCACTACCGGTGGCAAAATAAAACTAGATACAACTGGCTAAAGTAGGTAAGGTGATAAAAGCTGCAAGTGTCATGTATGYATAAGGTAGTTTTCTGCTCACAGGCACTTTGAATTTGCAGACCAGATCGGATCGCTGCTCACAATGACGTTAAGCAAAATGCAGCTTCCGACAGTGCTTATCTTCCAGCCAGGGTACAAACACCACACTAAGGTTCCTCTGGTTCCCAAGATAAACTAGTTCTCATTTAAAAACAAACATAGATTGAAAACAACTCAATTATCAGAATTAGACCAGCTACACTTTGAAACATTCAGATTTTTGACAGCTTGATGACCCATAGTGTAATCTAATTATCAAACTACCATCTGATCGCAGGGCTCTCCCGCACGTCCGTCACCTGCGCACGGGCAGCACCCTGGGTGCTGCAGGGCCCGCGCCAGTGGCCTCCTCTCAAAATGCTGAATTCAGAATTTACAAACTCCTTTGAATAACTAGCCTTGTATTTCTGACGTTTAAAATCACATAATTCTTGACCTGCAATTAAAGACTGCAAGATAAAACAACAGTAGAACTTTAGGCTACTTGATATGACT